ACAATAATTCCAGATGATTGAGCTGCCGTATAAAGAGGCAGGTTTCAGAATGGTGGTGGTGCTACCGGATGCTGTGGATGGTCTGCCGGCGGTGCTGGACAAGCTGGCGCAGAAGGGAGTATTAGAAGATGTGTTCGCTATGAGCCCGCCCGGACAGGACGTGGACGTGGACATGCCCAAGTTCGAAGTCAAATCAAAGTTCAATCTGAAAAACGTCTTGGTAAAGGTAAATTTCTTATAAACTTATATTACATGAAATATGGTAAAAGGAATTATGGAATGGAAACTGTGGTTGTAAGTTGTTACTTTAATGAAATGCTAATAGTTAAAATACATGATTTATCTCTTTCAGGAAGGTGTAAGCAGCATATTCAATCAGCAAGCTGAAGGAATTGTGAAAGGACAAGGGTTGGAGGTATCCGAAGTGTTCCAGGAGGCTTTTGTCAAAGTCGACGAAGAAGGCGCCACTGCTGGTGCATTCACTGGTATAACACAATCTCTATAAGATTAATAAAAAATATTTACTGCTTTTTGAAGTCTTAAAAAAGAAAAAATAAGATAGTAAGTGATCTCGTATTGTTACATATCGAGATTATTTATATAATAGAAATATCGAAAGCTTAAATATTCCCTTAAAGTTATGATATCCAGAAGTCTAATTATCTGAGTCATAATGTGTACAGGTCTTGTACTGGTGGCGACATCACTGCTTTCGGAGCCGCCACCGCCGCTGCCCTTCAAGGTGGACCGACCCTTCCTGTACGCCATCCTGCACCAGGACATCGTACTCTTTGCCGGCACATACACGCACTAAACTACATCAACTGATAACCTATAATAAAGATATAAAAAGAAGTACAAGGCTCCTACAAATATCATATTCATTGCTTTACTATCAGAATTACGAACAAATGTTTTATAAATAAGTTAAAAAATGTAACGACAATATGTGGAAATACAATAAATTCTTAATATACAATTAGTTTTATTGTGAATTATATCCGAATTTACTTAAAAAATCGTTGCACTTTATAAAGAATTATTTTATCGATAAAACCATTTAATGAATGATGACTCTGCAACATGTATGCAAAGAAAATAAATATGTGTGAAATCAACGCACTGGTACTAGAATGGTGACTACTAGGCCAGTCACCCCTCACTACCTACCTATCCATCCTACCAAGGCACTGAGCGTCTCGGTGGTAACATATATGAACTTACGACTAACCAACGATGTTTAAAACAAGGTTTTAATAAAGAAGGATTATATGTAACATTGCCAAGAAATGTTTTAATTGTAAGTATAAATAAGTAAATAATCACGTTTGCTTTTGTAAGACTACATTACTCCTCTTTGAAGTTGATTGAAGATTGGAAAGTAAATGGCAGTACTTTGATATCTGATAATGTCAGTGTCAGTGTCAAATATGAAATGTCATAGTTGTGATTTAGATCTCCTTTTAGGTTAGAATCAAAAAAATTGTTGTTTTTAAGTATATTTTTATTGTAAAATATTATAATTTATAAAGTTAATAGCAGATACGAATAATCCAGAAGTGTAAAATTAATCTAATGAGAAGAATGGCTTCAATAAGGAAATATATTGGTAATAAACTTTAGTTTCACACATATTTGTACCTATTTAAAAAGTTTTGTTAAATGAATTACTAAAGTACAATAAATTTCATGAAATTAAAAGAATAATTTTTATAACAATTGCGTTTTTTTTAAAGATATTGCCCATTTAGGTCCCAACTAAATAAGTCTGTAATTTAAACATAAAGCAATTCAGTAATTTCCTACATTAAATATTATTCTACGTTATATTTATTACATCAAAAGTATGCTGATTCTTTAAGGATTTATGAGAATAGATTTTCATAGATATCGGAGCCAATCTCACAGATGAGATGTATCAAGGAGTTTACCACACTTCTAAGAAGCATGAACCGGATCTGGACAGGGTGCTAGAGAGGAGCTGGGCCAATGGCATGTGTAAAATGATCATTACGGGAGGCAGTTTAATCGATAGCAAGAAAGCAATTGATTTGTCTTACACGGATTGTAAGCATTGTTTTTTTTTCTAATTTCGATATCTACATACCTGTAATTTATTTCAAATAAGTATGTGAGGATTAAAGACCTTACAAAAATGAGAATAAAGAGAGATTTAAAAATAATCATGTTCATATAATTAAATGTTTTTTATAGACTTATGTAAAAATGTGAATAAAATCGTTTTTCAGCCAAATGTTCTTGTCTTTTCAGCGAGATTGTATGCAACAGTTGGATGTCATCCGACAAGATGTAATGAATTTGTTGAAAACCCTGAAACATACTTGAATGACCTCAGAGATGTAATAACAAACCACAGAGAGAAAGTTGTAGCGATAGGAGAATGCGGCTTAGATTACGAAAGACTGCACTTTTGTGAAAAAGATATACAACTTAAGTGAGCATTAAAAGTTAAATTTACTTATCTGTACATATAAATAAAATTGGACTGTTGGTAATGTTGAAATAGCAGTTTTTACTACATGTATATGAGTATGTATACGGTAGATATCCCAAAATATAATCTTTTACAATTTTCGTCTGCCTCATTTTGTTCCGGTAAATCTCTGAAAAACATTTACAGCTGTAGAAAAGTTTAAGCTTGAGACAATATTTCATCTTCTTACTAATATTATAAATGCGAAAGATAAGATATGTGGATTGGATGTTAGATGGTATCTTCAGAACATCATAGACGTTAACCTAGAAGAACACATAGGCTATTTTTTATTCGCGCGGACACAGTCGCAGGCAACTACTGGTTATACATACACTTTTGTATTTTAGCGCAGAATAAATATAAATAAATAGGCTTACAATAAATTACTTCCAAATTTAAATTGTTACAGATATTTTGAATATCAGTTGAAACTAAGTGGAGAATTCAATTTACCATTATTTCTCCACTGCCGAGCTGCGGCTGATGACTTAGTGGATGTCTTGAAAAGGAACAAAGATGACATTGTTGGTGGAGTTGTGCATTCATTTGATGGTCCGCAGGATGCTCTTGAGAAGATATTGGAGTTAGGAATGTATATAGGTATTAATGGATGGTAAATATTACAATATTTTGCTATTAAAAGTGTATAAAAATAGTAGAGAAATCTTACTAATATTAAAATTACGAATGTTTAGATTTATATATATTTAGAATGGATAGATGTTTGTTAGAAGGTATCTCCAGAATGGCTGCATGGATCTTGGTGAAATTTGGTTTAGATGTAGAACACAGTATGGAAGAACACATAGTCTACTAATGTTTTTTTTTTAATACCGTGCGATTTGATTTTATGTCCACTCATAATTTCAAAACATCCAAACTAACAACTTTATAATTTTAATATTTTCAGTTCATTAAGAACAAAAGAGAATTTAGAAGTTGTGACGAAAATACCACAAGACCGTCTGATGATAGAGACTGATTGTCCATGGTGTGAAGTGAAACCAACTCATCCTGGTTATACACATGTTGTGACTAAATTCACTGCGGTAAAGAAGGAGAAATACTCTATAGATTCTGGTAATCAAGTGAAAGGAAGAAATGAACCTGTAAATATCGTGTAAGTATACTAATTTATTGATAAAATCTTCTAATATTATAAATGCAAATGTTTGGATGTATTTATGTTTATCGGAAGGTATCTCCAGAACAGTTGCATTGATCTCGGTGCAATTTGGCATACACGTAGAACATAGTCTGTAAAAACACAGCCTACTAAGTTTTTGTTTTAATTCCGTGCGGACAGAGTCGCGGGTGAAAGCTAGTATTATATATTGAGAGATGTAATATTATTTTTTTATTAACTCCTATTTGCGTTAATAAGGAACTAATGTTGGAATTGCTTTCTAATCCCGAGTGATTTTTTTTTAATATTTTTAATTGAGTAATTTCTTTTTCAGACAAGTACTAGAAATTTTAGCAGCCGTACGGAAAGAAAATATTGATGAATTGGCAGAAGCTATTTTTAATAATACCAATACACTGTTTTTCAGCAAATAAATAAGTAAATACACCAAAAGATTTTGTTCACTTTTCTTTTTCTAAAACGTACTTTCATTGTGACATTCATCATCATCAGCTCACTGTACGTCTCTACTGAGGGACTCGGAGCGTACACTAAGTTAGTCAATGCTGGCTCAGTGCGGTTTGACTTCACACATATATTTGACTTGCTCAGATATGTGCAGCATCACGTTTTCGTTCACCTTAAGAACATAGGATATAAATACATATGTAAATCATTGTATTTTTGACTGTGTGAAAGAGGATATGACGGCTGATAGAGATATATGGAGGAGTAGTACATACTGTGCCGACCCTCAATAGGGATAAGGGCAGGTTGATGATGATGTAAATCATTGTATTTGACATTCATCATCATCATCAGCTCACTATACGTCCCCACCGAGGGGCTCGGAGCCTACCCTAAGTTAAGGGTGATTAGGCCATAGTCAACCACGCTGGCCAAGTGCGGGTTGACTTCACACATATGTTTGAATTTCTTCTCAGATATGTGCAGGTTGCATCACGATGTTTTCCTTCACCGTAAGAACGTCGGATAAATGTACATGGCGGGATTCGAACCCAGGACCTGCAGATTGCAAGTCAAGTGCTTGACCACTGAGCCACCGACGTCTTGTCGATTTGACATTGTTCAAAGTAAAATATAATAAAAGATATATTTATCTCAACTGTTTTATTTTACCACATTACATTAAACACACACGATCTCTAACAGACACAAATAAATAACTACAAAGATAAACTTTATCTTTCAATAAAGTACTTTATGTATTTGGGTAACTTATTGCAGAATAAAATGAAACAAAATTTTATTATTGAATATATAAAAGCTATTTAGTGTTAGCAAACAAAAATGACGATATTGAGAAAATTTTGCATTAAGATAATTAAAAAAAAAAAATTTTAACTGGCTACAAAAATTTTAAATGCATCAGGAATGTTTAACCTTGACAATAATGGGTTTCTACATAAAATACAAAGATATAAATAAATAGGACATTATGAACTTTAACGCTTAAAAACTCTACAATTAGTAGAGTTTCAGATGATTTGCGATTTGAACATATAATGTCCACTCTACAATTATCATTTTAATCTCTTTATAATAAAAACGATTCAAATTGTCATGACAATAATCTAATTGTTAAAATTACATTAAGATTTATTAATAATTTTTGTAATAAATATGGAGATCCAAAATATTCGTTGAAATTGATTTAATTATGAAATTATGTTTATGAAATCATAAATGATAGATAATGAATATAATTTGTGCTCTATGATATACACAAGAGAGTAAACCATATGTTTGGAAAAAAAATAGGGCAATTTTAAATTATATTTAAGGTAACTTTTTTAATTGGGCTTGTAATTTGCATTTAAAATAGGGTTTTTTGTAACTAGAGGTTTTAAAATATTATATTATTGTTTTATTAGAAACTTGCCCATAAGTAAATAAACTAAGGAATCCATAAACAAAATAAATTTAAATTTCAATTATTTAACTACCAATAATAATGATAAGGTGAATTAAAATATGAATCACGACGATATTTACAACTAAATCAAAATTGACAATTCTGAAAGCGATGAAGTTATTTTAAATAAATAAATATTGTAAAAATTGCAATTTTCAAAATGATTCAAATTTAATGTAACAATACATAGACAATTTTTTCATACAAGAAAAAACAACAAATTTTAAACTACGATAAACACTTTAATACTTTAAAAAAAAATTCTAAATATTCAACGGTTCAACATCACATGATTTGCAGTTTCATTGTAAAAAAAAAAATAATATAACTTCTCGCTTACAGTTGAGATATTTCTACAGAAGACATTTCTGCACTTGTGATACGAGTCTTTTGTATATCACACTGACTCACCGTTCCTTCAGGGTATCTCCGAGTACACATTCACTTGCTCTCTGAACCAATGGAAGTACGACGACACGTGGAACTTTGTCGCATTTAACGCTAGCTGCGTTTTATTCTGTAAGATCTCCGGTGCCCATTCACCTCTGAAATAATTATCTAGATTAATTGATGATAAGTTTTGAATTTTTTTTTATATTGTAAGATAAACGAGCAAGTGGCCTGAATTTGAAATGCACAGAAAAAGAATATTTCATCTTCCTATATGTCACCTCATCTGTCAAATCACTATCCCCTTCCCATCTTTATAAAGGGAGAAGATAGAGAAGGGAAAGGGGATTATAATTAGGTCTCACTTAGTATGAATCGCTTCCACTTGACTGTCTTTTATCAATCAGACAGTCTACAAGATCTAACTCATTGCACTATATCCAAAGTCAACCAATAAGCTTTTAATTAATTCAAGAAATAACAAAAACTTACACAAACACTTTGGTCTTGAAGTATTCTGCCGTCAAGAAATAATAGTCCGTCAAATATTTCTTCACAGCGACAAAACCAGTTGATGCGTAAGACTGTACATTGTCAATCAAACCGGGGGCATATTGATCTATAGTTGCTACAGCCACAGGAATCTTCTCAGTTACGTACTCCCTCATATTTTCATACAATATACAAGCCTTCTTCATTGTCAGTATGAACACATCTTTAGACAACTCCAAGTACGGCTTACAAACTTCGATTGTTTTCACATAATACACCGGAGTATTTGTCTCAAGCCAAATGTATCCACGGGCTGTTGTTGATAGAGTCTTCTGCCAGGCCTTTTGGCTGTGCTCCAGCACACCAATATCATTCATAAATCTACCCGTTGTACTTTCTGAAAATAACAGATTTAAACTATTATCTGCTTACCTAATTAACTTTAAAAGGTTGTAATTTATAAACTTCAGTATAGCAACAACAGTAATTATATGAAAATAAATATTATATAAACTTGACATTATCAATTGAAAACAATCTCATAAGAAATTGTAATACATTGTAAAACAAACGACATTCCTAATGTGAGAAAAGATAATGTTTATCAGCAGTAAATAGCTCGCCCTAACAACAACATTGATAAAAGTGTAGTTAAAAAGTTTATTAGGTGCAGCACAAATCATTGCAACTGAATACAAATATATAGATTACATTTCAATTTTTAATAAAACAATATGTTATTTGCAGATGGAACTTGTTAGCATATCTCATACTAATATTATAAATGGATAAATATTTAGATGGATGGATGTTTATTTGAATTTATCTCTGAAACGGCTTAACAAATCTTGATGAATTTTAGTACAGATGAAGAATAAAATCTGGAAAAACACATAGGCTCAGTCAGTTTATTTCTAATTCCGTGCGAATGTAGTCAAGGGTGACAGCTAGTTTGTAATATTACTTACTGGGGAAGTTGCCTCCAGCCTTGGAGACATCATAAGCAATCAAACCAGCAATGCCAACCAGCAAGACAAAGCTGGCCCACAGCCAAGGGAACCTTCTAGTACTTGTCATTCTATCTAGAATATCCTAGGAGTAAAAAGAACATAGTATATATGATAACCTAGGGAAAAATATTCATCAACCAATATCAATTTGGTATCAAACCTATTTTAGAAACCTACTACTACTTTGTTCCATACCTCATAGGAAAAAAGCGGAACCCTTATAGGATCACTTTGTTGCCTGTCCGTCTGTCTCTCAGAACCCTTTTTTTATTTATTTATGATGATGTTCATAATATTTTTCACATATTTTCATACATACAAGTTTAATTCACTCTGATAATTTTATGCTCTAACATTTAAAGCAATAAGTAAAAACATTAGTTTTATGAAACAGGAAAAATACATATTTAATGTATAGTGATTATTTCCTGGTAGTGTGCTAACTTATTAAAAATTCCTTCGTAATTTAAGAAATAATTAATTATGAAAAAACTTAAATACAAGAAAGCGCGCTATCAATACTTTCATATTTCCACCAAAATATCGACGCGATCTCCCACCGAGTAACGGATGTTATACGAATCAACATTTACAGTTACAATGGATGGGCGTGTGCTTAAATTATAAGTGTTTCTAGTTTGCTTTTATAGAATGTTTAAACGATAAAAAAATCACGGCTATAGACTCGTTTTATGGAAAATTACACATAGCAATTAACTAAACGCGTAAATACCTTTAATATATTTTAACATACCTTTTTATCTCAGAAATATTATTTTTTTCTTATGAAAACACTTAACTTTATCGATTTTTTATGATCAATATCGCAAATTGTATTTCCGATTTAAAATTTTGAAACAAAAATGTCGTCCTTTCTACTTCTTTATGAAAGAAGAATGAATGAAATCGAATGATTGGTTATTGAATGTGACAGATCAGTGTTGTCAGCACAAAAAAGGCCAAAGAATAATTAGTTTTTAAGTTTTTAATTTTGCACCATGTTATTTTTTTAAGTTTAATTAAATCTCACTATTTTTGGTAATTTTAATAATTTAAATAAAATTTTTTTTTTAAATTGAAACCTCACCTGGCATATTTTATCAGCCTTAACAACAGTTTCGTCTTTCTTTTTCCCTTTTAATGCATCTTTACTTATTTCTTTATATTGCAGCACCGTAGTTTTCAAAGATTTCAGTCTCAGTTTTGGGCTTACTTCAGTCCAGTTGCTATCTAAAAGGATTATCCAA